GTTTCAAATATTGCAGGACCTAGGTTCAATTTCTAGTATCCACATGGCACCTAACAACCATCAATAACTTGAGTTCCATGGAATCCAACACTCTCTTCTGGCCTTTGAGGTCATTGCACTCATGTGGTGCACTTACATACATGGAAATAAAACACTCATACACATAAAATAAAAATAATAAGTAAAATTTTTAAATGGATAATATACAAAAACTCTTGAAATAATAATAAAATATAAATGCAATACAACTTTTCTGAGTAAGTCTATGTAACTTTTACTATTCAACATTGTGAGCATATGTGTGTTGATTCCACATAATGTGGACAAGGCCTTGTTTATGAATGTGAAGGCTCCAGGTGGGTCTGGCCTCATGACTTTGGCAGACTGCATTCTGTGAAGCAGTCAGGGCCTACCTCATTCCACGAGACTCAGCACTGCACACCATGGCCACTCTAAAAGCTAGCACCAGATTCACTATTGTTTCAGTGGAGATTTTATACAGATCAATGCTTCTTTTTACTATAATTTGAACCATTTACTTCTTCTGAAAGCTACTTTTATTTATAGTTGATAGATAGTTGAAAATGTACATGCTTTATAAATCTCTAAAAGAATTATGGAAAATAGAAATTAATGTCAGTTCTACAAAAACAGGGATAAATAATTATATTTTGTTGTTAGACTATTCCAACGATTAGCTTTTCCAGATGTTTGTAAAAAGAAAATAAGTATAGTAAAAAGAAAACACTGGAAACTACACATAATTCTACCTGAACTCTCATGAGTTACTCCTTTTCCTTGACCTCTCTACTGGGGTTTAATTGCTGCAAAAAGAAAGGCTTAAAAGATGCTAAGGCTTTCAAAATACTTGTACAATAATGAATGAGACACAAGACATTTCCTGAAGCTTAATGTCTTAACTGTTCAGAATTGATGGCATAGAGTTCAGCCAGGCATGGTTTAGACCCAGCTGGTCATTAATCCCTGGAAATGCCCTAAGCTAGGATAATCCAGCAACAAAACAATAATGACACATGGACGCCTTTGGAATGCAAATGTGATTGTTATTTATGAGAGCACTTGAGAGAATTAATGTACACTAAAGAGTTTTTATTTATGTTCCTGTTCCAGATCGAGGTATTATAGGTGGACAAAGGTACAGGCAAACATAAATTTCATCATTTCCCTTTGTCTTTATGCAAGGGGGAAAGCTTCCTAAGAGTCAGCTGAGGTGAAGTTTGTCAGTTCACAGTACAAAGTAGGATTGAAGCAGTGTATAGTAGCTAGAACATCAAGGATATTGGTTGGTCTACTCAAGTTAATTATTTAAAATGCACTTAAAATGTTTTAATAATTCTATATTTATTCCCTATGCTGTCACAGGAAAAAGTAAAGTATATATCCTACTGTAAACTGCACACTAAATTTATTTCTAAGCATTTGACTAATAGTTCTACTAGTGATCAGTCCATGATGGTGCCTTGCTAAAATATTTAAAGTTGGAAATGTTTC